TGATATAACCCTAATATAACCCTAGTGTAACCCTTGTAAGCCATGCAGGTGATCATGCACCTCACAGTTCACGTCCACGAAGACTCCGGACTCTGCCACACGCAGGACCTCATGTACCACACGAGCTCTGGGTTTAGGGTTTAGGGTTTAGGGTTTAGGGTCTCTCATCCAAAACATCAAAGAAAATGGAACCAAATTACTTTGCCCCTAAAACCTAGACCCCTAAACCCTGAACCAACGTCCACCGTATACCAGGCATCCGACTGAGCCACGAATGCCCACGGAGGTGTCCATGGAGATTAAATCCTCCAACTTCCTGGCATGCAGAGGCAGCCCAGTGAGATTATTGGGATAATATTGAGATAATATAGGGCAATATAGGGATAATGGAAAGGAAAATGGAAACTACCATTTAGAGTTTAGGGCTTAGGGTGTAGGGTTTATGGGGGGTCATGTAGACCCATAATTAATCAACCCCCTCCTTTTAAGGGCCTTAATATTGGGATCCCTGCTGTAATCCCTATTAAGGGAGGGGGGGTTTATGAATCAGGGGTCTGGGTTTGGGTTCAGGTCTTAGGGTTTACCAGATCAGGGTTTCAGGGAATATTCTTAGGGTTTAAGGTTTAGGGTTTAGGGTAGGTAAATTAGGGGATTTGATGAGGATGATAAGGTGATCATTGCTACTACTAGTACAGGCTTCTAAAATAATTGGGGTTTAGGCCGCATTTCAGGGGTCAAAGAGGCGGCTCGATCCCTGAACCCTGAGGTAGGTACCTAATTAATTATCAAAAGAAAGTTTCGGGGATGTCGTGTGCTAGGACCAAACAAGTACCAGGAACATCAAGGATTACTTGTCCTTTTTAGTAATTACACGCAAGCATCCCATCATCTGCCGGACACCCCAGCCCCTGCAGCATGATCTTGAACATGTTCTGGTTGGTTCCCGGCATGCATCAGCGGATAAGCTACTATCCTACATACAAAACCCATATAACCTGCGCCCTCAACCCTGTTCCATGAATCCCACATTCTTCCATAAACCCCAAACCCACCAACACCCAATCCCCTTAAACCCTACAACCCAGCCCTCCACTCCCAAACTGGAAAATCACGTAAGCCGTGCGGGCGCGCATATAGGATCACGACCACGAAGCTTTAAGTGCTCTGGTTTGGACTGCTTAGAAATTCCTTTCCGGATCCCCTCAAGTTATTACGGAAGTATGATCCTCTCGGTGGGCCCCGACAATCTCCCAACAAACCGCATAAATCCATGGGGTCCCGACTCGACGCCCCGTTTTGAAACATCCTCCTATCAAAAAACAATTTTCCCAAAAGCTCCCTTAAACCCTTAAAGCCCAAAACACCCTGGAAGCCTCCGCGCGGGCGGTTCGGCCCTTGTCTCCTAGCAGAAGCTGCAGAGCCAACCTTGCCTCTGGTAAGCCGGGAACGAAGGAATGGAAAAGAAAATGGAAACTTCTGAAGGAGTTATATAAGGAGTATAGAGGGATACATCTGGTAAGGAGGACTCTAGAACGTGAGTTGGCATGTAAAAGAATTGCGCGAGGACCTGAATTTCAGCACATTGTGTTGATAGAAGAAATCTTTCACCACCTAGGGCGCTCAAGCAGCTGCAATCCTTGGGAATTTTGGGTCGAGTATGGCGCAATACTTTCACCAGCGACAGCACCAGTACCACAACAAACACACTCCCTCAACAACCAGACCTATTCCCCACATGCAGCCCGTGAAGCTCAACCACAATCTTTGAAATGCCTACTTTCTCCCATGTATCCCTATATAATCCCTATAGAGGCCTTATCATAGTTTGAACTTTCTTTTCCATTCTCCTCTGTATCCCTACATAATCCTATAGAGGCCTTATAATAGTTTGAATAGGAGTTCCTGTTGGAAGTGAGAGGTGACAGCTGACTCCTTGACGGTGCCGACTACGCACATCTGCGCGGATACATCCTGAGCAATACATGGTAGTTTCCCTGAATTACTGTTCCCAAAATGGGGGAAATTTATATAGGGCCCCGTCTTATAATGGGAACCCAAATATAGGACCCCGTATTATAGGGAATTTAGACCAATACCCAGAGATACCGTTTCGGGGCTTTAGGGGAAGATCGGTATGGAGATCACGCAGGAATTACATGCTGCTTGTAACAAGCAGTAAGCATCGTTGCAGGGCTCATATCAGGAATACTAGAGGGACGACGCTTGGATTGCAAGAGGCTCCGCAAAACGTACCTCCGACTAGCAAGGAATGGAATCAATGGATCCTTATTGGAGTCGCCCCTGTAATGCGTTCGCGCTTCGCGGTCCCACCCCAGTGGTATGGCCCCCATCTGGGGATGAGCCGTATCCATATAACCCAAGAAACATGCACTCTCCGTAACCCTTCTAAATCCTCTTTCATTTTCAACCCCCAGTGACTTGGCACCACAGGACCCACCACAGGGTACCTTGGCTCCCACAAAAACTATGAAACCTTAAAAAACGTTCTCGGACTCTCCAGAAAACTCTCAAACCCTTTATGAAGCCCCTGTAAACCATGGGTGGAAGTCTATTGAAACCTCCAAACCCCTCCAGAGACCTTCTGTCTCTATAAGCCATGCATAGAATTCAATCAAACCTTCATAAACTCTTTAGAAGCCCTCACAAAGCATCTTAATTACAACCTCTCAAAACCTGCAATGAAATTAATGAACCCTCTGCAAACCTTCTAGAAGCCCTCCATAAACACTATATAAGCTAGCTTCGATAAACCTAATCTAAACCTCTCAATTAAACCACCAAACCCATACCACAGGACCACATGACTACGGGAGGGTGGGGTAGGTTATTCATACTCTATACCATGGACCATGGGGGAAAAGGGGGGATGGGGGGAGCTGAGGGGGGTGATCTGCGAATGCTGACGCATGTACCCTCTATAATGTCACAAGTTCCAGTTTCTTTGCCTTGCCTTCCTTTTCTGCTAACCCAAGGTAAGAGAACCCTAAACCTGAAACCCTGCATATCCCTGTAAACCTTTGGGGTAACCCTAAACCCTAAACCCAAATCCTAAACCCTAAACCCTAAATCCTAAACCCCAAACCCTAAGCCCTTAATAGGTGGCAATCAAGGTGTTGTTGCGTTGCCCGGCTCCAAGGATCCAGCCACTCGGTAACAGTACACCTCGGGCTCCGCTGGCGTGCACACGGTCAAGGGTTTAGGGCTTAGGGGTTAGGGTTTAGGATTATATGGGGTTATATGGGAGTTATATGGGAATAATTGAAAAATAGAATGGAAACTACTACATTATAAAATGCCGAGGGATTCTATGTCTAGGGTTGAGCGGCTAGGGAGGTTGGCTTTGGGGTTTTCGTGGTCGATTCCATGGCCGACAGGGTTTGGGGTTAAATGTTTAGAGTGTTGTGGCGGGTTCAGGGGTCAATGTTTAGGATTTGGATTTCTGGGCACCGCAATCTCTATGTAACATCTATACTGGGAAATACATCCCTTAGAAATCTATACAAATGTATACGTGTATATGTATGTGTATATTTGTATAGATAGATATATATATATATACGCATCTATCTTCCCAGGGCTACGAAGGACCCCATTTCTAGAAGCCCTCAAATATGACGACCCCTAAACCCCAAACCCTAAACCCGATTAAGCCTTGAGGGGAGGACACGCAGCTCCTCGCCACGAAGATGCGGCTGGTCTGCCTGCAGCAGTCCTCCAGCGAAATTCACTAAGAGCTCAGATCCATTGGGGTTTAGGGTTCAGGGTCTAGTCTGTATATAGATATATATGAACTTCTTCATTTGTCCGATTTCTAAATTTTCTATATGTTCCTGGGGTACTGCACCGCTTGTGGTCTCCACTTTCGGAACAGCTCGGGCCAGCGCCAGGGATCTCACAGTTGAAATCCACCAGCCTCGTGGGGTGTCTTTGGTTGCGAAGCCCCAGAGTTGGAGGGGCTAGGGGCGTTGTATGGGGGTTGTGTAGGGGCTGTATGATTTGGGCTGCAGCCAGTACTTCTTATACGACGGATGGACACAGGTCCTTCCTAGGGAAGAAATGAGGGACTATACTAAATTACCAGAAGTAACTCGATATCCACCCTCAACAGTCCCATGTTAACCCTGGCAATGATAGTAGCTCATGTAGGTCCGGAAGCTCAGCTAAACCCCATCGTGATGAAGCGTCTTTACTTTCATGGAAAGCCTTTCGTTGGATACGGGAACGCAGGCCAGGTCAAATCAAATTCAACGCAAACCCTAAATCCTAGACCCTAATCCCTGAACCCTATAATCCCTCAATCCTATAATACCTAAACCCTAAACCCTGAACCCTAAACCCTAATTGAGAAAGACAGTCACTGGCTCCAAAACCTATAACTGTCCTGGCCACCGCCCTGCACGCCTGAAACTTCTAGGGGTTTAGGGTTTAGGGTTTAGGTTTTAGGATTTAGGGTTCCCATGCCCGCTGATGACCTTAAACAGTACTGAATCAAAACATGTCCTAAGCACGTCTGTTCCAGGCTTCTTGTAGATGAAACTGTTCTCGGGTCGCAGCGTGCCATCATCAGTAGCAGATATAACAATGGCACCTGGGAGCGCTTTGGAGGTTCATGGGCAAATGTAAGAGGGGTTACAAGTGATACAACCGCGGCTACAGCATTGTTGCAACTTACTGTAGGAGAGCTTCAGAACTATCCATGGACCTCCCTGTGATACCGGAGGGACAAAGATTCAGCGGTTCAGCGCTCACCAGCACTTGGCACCCCAGAATGTCTCGAACAAAGGTTCTGGCGTTGGGGTCTGTACAATAAGGACACCCTTTATATGGGGGTATGCCAAGGACGCCCACCCCTGAGAAACTGCTGTGCCAAAAACCTGAGGTGAGAACGCCATGGTCCAAGCCCAGGGCGAAGCCTCTGTTTTGCAACAGATGCCGTACGACATCAAAAAAACTCTTGGTTGTTCACGCTATTGTTACACAGCGATGACAGCGCTCACCGTGATGAAGACAGCTGCTGCTTCAGGGCTTAGGAATTATCATCACCATCCTACTTTCCTAAGCATCATCATCATCATTGTGATCACGCTGGCTGGCTTAGGGGCCAGCTCATCAAGACGCAGGGGCGCGACGGGAACACGCACAGGCAACCTCAGTTCGGGGATGCAAGCAGCAGGGTTCATGCCTTGTCAATGTGGTAAGATAAGTCGTTGAATGAAAGAGGAAGCCGTCCTCTTGAAAGCCAAGTCAAGTACAATCCTTTTTTTCATGTGGATCCTACTGCTATTCAGCCTCTTGCAGAAAAACTTGCGCGGGAAAGCAACCAGGTGCCATACTCGCCATGCAGCCCTCTTTGATGGAATCTCCCATATACTTGCTCAGCCCTGTCCTGAATCCTAGAACCTAAGACCTACACGCTAATCCCTGAATCTAAGCCCTGCATATCGTCATTTCCCCGTTAAGATGACCCAACCCCAAGAAAGCCCTAGAGGAAGTTCACAAAGCTTCAGACCGCGGAGGCTTCTGGCGCAGCGCACCTTCAAGTCTGCGGGCTTTCGGGTTTAGTTATGGAGAGTAGTGTAGACCCATGATTAATAACCCCCCTCCTTTCATGGACCTAAAGATTAGGATCCCTATTCAGGGGAGGGGGCTTATTAATCATGAGTCTGTTTTAGGGTTGAGGTTTTTTTTGTTTCGGGTTTGGGTTCTAGGCTGTAGGGATTTAAGAACCTGGGGTTCTCCAAGCTTGGGGTTTGGAGATGCTGCCTGTTTCAGGTGGAGAAAATCAAGATAAACAAAAGAAGTTTAGGGTTTAGGGTGAAGGGTGCAGGGTTTAGGGCTTAGGGTATACTTCAGGGTAGGACAGGAGATCTGTCAAAATCAGAAGTCCCTTGAAGGTTACTCGCATAGAGGGGCCTGCTTGCGGGCCTTCGCAGGAAATATCAATTCTGGAGTTGCACCCTGTGAGGGAGTGCGGAGTCCGGTAAAAACTCCACTAGGAAAACAGCCCGACTCCCTCAACCCCAAAAAACAACTGAGCCATAGACGGAGGAGCCAACCGTACTTGGCGCAGCAGTACACCTTCTCAGCTCGAGAATGCCGGCAGGGAATTTAGGAATTCAATGGAACAGACTTCAGCGATGCCAACAAGGAATGACATACGGACTATTTGTAGCTTTCAACTCACTGTATAGTAGTTTCCATATTCTTTTCCATCATCCCTATATAATGCCAATAATAAGAATGTGTTGGAATTACGCAGAAAGGAGAACAGGTGCACTTCCGGCCTCCATCTCACTGCCAAGCAGAGGGAGACCCTACCGGATGCAAGTCATGTCGCTTGCCCCCAAGGGGGGTTGCTGTTGAGGAACTTGAACTAAATTA